AAAAAATTCTCTATTTTGTTCAGGCTCCTGACTAGAATATGTTTGTAATGAGGCAAATATCAGAGTAACTTGGAGAGCTCAGACAAGCCATCTGAAAATGCAGGGGTTAATTCAAGATTAGATATGGTGGCATAGTTCTTGATTATCCATGTGGAGCGATTTAATAAAACAGCAGATCATTCAGGAATCATTCATACTTGGCCTTGAGATGTATTAGAGGATGCATCTTTGATCTCTCTTTCTAATTATGTTTTGCTTTGGTCTAATGCTAGAGTAATAATTTACATTCCCAAAGCATATGCCAACCAACAACAGAGGAAAAGGACAGAGGAAAAAAGAGGGAGAGAGAGGCAAGATAAAAAAAAAACAGCAGGAGGAAGAGAAAGGGGGCATAAAAAAAGCAATGGAGGAAGGAACCAGGGGAGCTCTTCAAATGCCATGGAGAATTCACAAAACAAGTGTGCATGCACATAAGGTATTTATTGAACCACATCCCTTGTTTTGTAGGCCAACTACTCTCTTTCTCAGAATTCTTTTCTGTTCTCTTCTTCTTCCAAACCAATGAACACATCAATATTGTAAGCACCTTTTAGAAAGGCTGTCTTTTAGAGGATACAAGTTGAGAAATAAGTTTCTTACCATTCAGGAGCTCCTGGTTGATGCTGAGATTTGAGATGAAATCCTTCACTTAGAAGACCTCAAACTCTTTAACCATTGCTGGTTCAGTGTTTCTAATGCAGAAAACCCTCAACATAAATGCTAACGAAGAGGTAAGTGTGAAAGCTGATCTGAGGGTGGGTCCAGGGCTTCTTCTAGGGATATGATGAGTACTATTTAAACACAAGCAGAATTTAAATAGGAATACAAAGACTAGGGATAGTCTACATTCCAATGTCTTGAAAGAAAATGGTGGAGAAATACATAGCCTAATATGGATAATTATGATCATGGGACAGAAGCTGAGAGAAATCCATTTATTTGACCCAGAAATTTCAAGTAAAGTCTATTAAAGAAGGGGCTAGAGTGATGACCAATGTTTGACAGCAATTACTAGACTTGCAGGGAATCTTGGTCTAGCTCCCAGCACCCATATGATGGCTCACAACGACCTGTAACTCCATCTTCAGAGGATATGACAGCTCCTCTAACCCACAGTGGGTCCTGCACATACATAACACTTATATATGCATATATTTATAACATAAAATAAAAAGATATTATTTTAAAAGGATATTAAAGAAATTAGCTGGAAACTCAAATAGAGAAAGTTCAAACGAAGTCTTAGAAATCTGTAAAATTTAAAAAGAAATTGGTAAATTTACTTAGATGGTAGCATATGTCAACTGCTGCAATTCTCAAGCACTTTACACATACAAGCACAGTAGCTGGATTGGAAACAAAATCTAAAATCAAATAAAAATTGAAGTTTATGATAAAATGGAGGCTTTAAACCCCATGCTTTCAAGCATAGTATTTTTGTTGGAAGTTCAAGCTTAGGATTTACACTTTATGTCATCAAATTTTCTTCAACATAACCCTAGACATCCACACCTCAAAGCCAGAGGATCACAAATTCTGTTCTATCTTCAGTCTTCCTTATTGAGACCAAAGAGATGAGTGGATACAAGTAACAAGAACCTAAGGGCTTTTTAGAGAAGACGACTATATATTGAGTTTCTCATCCTTTTCCTCAATTGTAGGTGTAAACCAGATAATATGCTGATAGGTTTGTTTCCCCTTCCATTTTTTTTTCTGAGACAGGATATCATATCTCTATTATAAGCAAAGTACTATCACACTTGTTATTCTAGTTTCTTAGCCTCCACGTTGGCGGGGTCATTATGAACACTACCATACCCAATACATTTTACATAGTGTGTGGGCACAGCATAAGGGATGTTGAAATAGATGGCATAAAGAGTTTTAAAAGACTGAAAAACAATCTTTCTCTTATCCTGAAAAAAAATTATAAAACATTTTCAGAGACAAACTGCAAGACAGTAAATAAAGATAGTGGTGTGGAGACAGTAAGAAACAAACATGTGAATTTGAAAGGGGAAGATGTGTGGGATGATACACTAAGTAGCACTGTGTGTAGAGGAAGCCCATGCTCTACATTGCATGGATGGCCAGGAATTGGCAGCTGAATGACTCAGAGACCTAGGATAGAATCACACATGACTGACCAATAAAGAAAATCAATGTAATGATTCCTTATGATATTCTGCTATACTCATAACTCTGTGTCTAGCCCAATCATCATCAGAGAGGCTTCCTCTTGTAGCTGATGGTAGGAGATGCAGAGATCCACACCCAAACATTAGGCAGAGCCTGGGAAACCCCACAGAAGAGTGGAAGGAAGGATTACAGGAGCCAGAGGAGTAGAGGACACCAGGAGAACACAGCCCACATAATCAAATAAGCAGGGCTCACTGGCATTCACAGAGACTGAAACAATCACAGAGCCTGCAGGGGTCCTCCATAGGTCCTCTGTGTACATGCTGTGGTTGTTTAATTTGGATGATTGTGGGACTCCTAACAGTGGGAGTCAGGGTATCTCTACTCTTCTGACTGCTCTTGGGACCTTTTCCTCCTGATGGGTTGCCTTGTCCAGCCTTGATAGGAGAATTTGTGCCTAGTCTTATTGCATCTTTTTATGCAATAATAAGATATCAGTGGATACCACTGGGAGGCCTGCTCTTTTCTAAAGGGAAACAGAGCAGTGGATCTGAAGGAGAGAGGAAGCAGAGGGTGGGTGGATTGGAGGTAGGGGAGGCTGTAGTAAGGATGTAATAAATGAGAGAAGAATAAATAAAAAGTAAAAAGAAAAAGAAAGAAAATCCAGTGCAGAGTCACTGCATTGGGGAGTAATACTTAGGAACAAGACAGGTTTCTTTACTTTCTTCAATTGTATCAGGATTCAAACATTTCTACCTTGATCTTCACAAATAGATAGATTATTGGTAAGGTAGAATTCTCATAATATATAGTTGGTAATACTAAGATGAAAGCCTAGATGTTTCTAAACTCAAAGTCCTTACCTTTCCACCCTCATAAGCAGGGCTAAAGCAGAGTTCAAAAATTAGAAATGCACACGTAGTTATCTCCTACATAATCAAAGCTTCGGGTGATCCAGTCAGACTCCTGTGTCAGGAGAATATGTATATAATGCAGAAGATACAAAAGCAAAAATGAGGCAAATTCACAGCTTCACAGAAAAATGACACGACTGTCCAGGAGGAAAATATTTTATTTTCAAAACTTCAGAGTGTTTCAGGCGACCACACCATTAAGTAGGAAATTTAGTTGTATCATATAAAATGTATAAATATTATTTCAAATAGAGCTAGTATTTGTTACTTCTCTGGGAGAGTTGGGCTAGTTGCTCTGCCATTTTTGTGGATCTAATATTTGATTTGCTCTCCAGTTTCAAATCACAGGAAATGTTTCCCCAGTGACTCAGAGCATTTAGGTGACATTTCTTGCCAGCAAACCAGGAAATTAGATCAATGATTGTCTTGGCATTGTTGACTTTCCCAGTTGACAATGATCGGGACCTGGTCATTTACTTGAAGTCTCATTATTTTCTGTTATCCTAAGTTCATCTTTTTCTTTTCTTTTCTTTCTTATTCTGGATACATCTATCAAATAAACATACAAGCTTGGGCTTTAAAACAATGAGTCAGAATTTCAACAGTTCTGTTACCTCTTTGACATCTTTAAAAATCTGTTTCCTCAGCCAAAATTAAAAAGTATCCCTGTTCCAGTGTTCTAAGGCATTGAGTCAGGAGGTAGCAGACTGGGTAACAGACAAATGCCTGCTTATAGCCTTAAGCTAATGCTCACCCATCTTATCAGTGCCTACCTCACCAGGAGTAGTATGGAATTTGAGTTCACAGACAGGAAAAACTAGCCAGGGTTCCAAAGCTAAGTATAAGCACAGCAAACCGTGGAAGGTTCTAGGTGTTTCTTTCGGGGCTCGTTTTCATTGTAAGGTCTTAATACATGGGAGAGAAACAATGGCAACAGAGAAAACCAATTGACTTGAAACAAATCTCTACATGTTTTTCTCTATCTAACCCAGGTGTCATCTGCTATCTTGACTCAAGCTCGGGACATACCGAATTGTTCTGGTCCTTTTATTATGGTTCTGGTCCTTTTTGTCATGAATTCTTGCTTCCTCCCCTCTTGGGGAAAGATTGAGCCCAGCCAGTGTCCTGCACCATCTGTCTTCCTTAATGTTACCTTCCATCATTCAGGCTCCCCCACTCTGCTTAATGGAAAATCAACTAACTTCTGTTTTCTCTTTAAAAAAATAAAATGAAAGGAGAAAAATATTACTGATTTTGAAAAAGGTTTTAAACAAACATATATTTTGTTTTGAGCTTATTTCCTTCCTATCCTGCTGCCCTTCCCCTTTCTTATCAAACCTCTCCCTTTTGTCCCCTTTTTCCTCCTAGACAGAACAACAACAACAACAAAACATTTTAAAATCTGTTTTGTCTTATTTCAGTATCATCTTTTAAAGATTAGTTGAAAAGGGATGTGACCTACAAAATCATGTCTAAGTATGTCATCATCCTATTTGGTTTGATGTCTAATACACACAACTTTAAATTTACAGTAAAATATTCTCTGTTTTAATCTAGCTGTGTACTGGTGTGCTGTGTACTGGTTTCCTCCCTGAAATGGGACAGGGGGAACTGGAGAAAGATTCATACTCAACATATCACAGGGCTGTTTTGAAAACTTCACAAATAAATATTAGAAGGAAGAACATTTCAGAAATCCCATACATCATTAAAACTGTAGCCATCTATTAAGAACAAGATATTACAAATTAGGCTTTGTTTACAAGTGTGTCTGGTTGAGTCCTTTGTGAAAATGCAAATTAGTAACTGAGAGACACTGCTTTCTAAGAACTCAAGTTTAGTTAGGGACCGATATCCTGTAAATTTTCTATTTGAAAGAAAATTGTGGTTTCTCCTTTAATTATTCAGTTGATTGTGTCGACTCTACAATTCATTTCACCAGTGTGGACTCGGTCTCCAGGTTTTAATCCACACCCTGTCACTCATTTCCTCGACGACCTTGGGTAAGTCATTTAATTTCTACACATCTCAATTTCTTTGTGTGTAAAATTGGGATAATAATCTTGACCTCACAGAGAGGTTGTATGAATTAACTGATTAATGATTATAAAGCAATTTGGAAATACAGAACGCTATATAAATGCTAAGTGTTGTTATTAAGCAAATCAATTCAGAAAATCAAGATAATGACATTTCTTTTCAATCTATGTCTTAAAGTGCTTAACGCCTCTGTATCCAAGCTCTGAGTGGAAAAAAAAAGAAGAAGTTTAAATATTTATAACTTGAATTTTTCTAGTTTAATCTGTTTCTACAGCAGACAAGAAAAAAAAGTCTCTTAAACTGAGAACTTGGGGCCATCATTCAATTTGACATTTTACTTGTACCCTCTTAAAAAATTCTGAAACATATGCCTATCAAGCAAGTGTTTGTCTCTCTGTTATTTATCAGTTATTGTGTATCTATAATCTATCTATATTTATCTAATGGAATCTTAGAATTTCAGAGATGAAATTGATACTAAATACTTCCAATCCAGGTTCCTAATCTATGTGAGGAAAATGTTTGAGAACACAAGAAATGATTTGTGCTGTGGGTAGCTTTTTCCAGAGCTGATCTCTGTCCTCAGCCCTCAATGTAATTCCTTTCATTCGTGAGAACAGCAGACAACACAGACCATGTCTGGGGCTAAATAACAGACACTCTTGAAAGTGCATGGTTAACTATTGTGAAGTTAACAATATCATGGCACAATCTGGGCACTTCTTAGTTTAACAGTTTTTGTTCTGTGTAACTTCAGCTATATAGAACTAGTAAATGTGCTCCTGGTGACACTTCTAGCTTTCCTTGAATTTTGTTTCTTTCCTAGAAAGCATGTGAAATTAAGAATGAAGTCTTGGGTTCTATCAACTAATACATGAAGTGTTTGTTATAGAGGTATCTACACATCTGAAGTATAAATTAATGCTTTTCGGTTAATCCAGTGCTATAAGGAGTTTTACCTGACAGAATAAACATCCTTGTTAGCCATTTCCTCCCACTGAGGCACAATTCATTCTAACAACTTTTGAAGCAAAGACCAGGTAGACACCATCTGAGACTCTCAGGACTGACGTTCTTAGCCCCATGGTGTCTGCAACGATATTACACTTTTTTTAGGTGGTATTTTGAATTCTGTGTAGTTCATAGAATGTACATCTGCTAGTAAAACCAATTGCACCCTCAAGCGGATGTTCATTTGAGGATTTCTATTGCCAAAGAATAAATTTCCAGAATGTTAGTGCTGGAAGGAATATCAGAAATCATTAGGTCTGCTTCTTTCATTTATGGTAAAAAACTGGAATCTTGAAATATTAAGTAAATAGTTTAAGGTCACAGAGTGAGTCTGAAGAAATATGAGTTTAAAATCCAGGATTTTATGAATCCCAATTGAAGGATATTTCTACTACATCATTGACTAAAATGTCATTGGATAAATGATACTTTATTCCAAAGTTAGGACTTTCTGAACCCTAAGCAAGAGACAGATTTTAAATATTATTTCTTTGGTTGTCTTTTTTCCACTCCACTCATGGGTTTGGTCTAAAACACCATTTAAATAATTTCACAGATGGGCTATTGCTCCTAAGATTCAATATGTTTGCTGGATGAATTGAGAGAAAACTATAGTCTTGTTCTTCTGTAGAAAATCCTAGCCATCTCTCACTAAGCCTTACATTTTCAAAAAGAGTCTATATGTAAGATGTGTTTAGCAAAGTAACCCATGTCATTCATGGATGAGCACTAGCTAACTAGAATGTGCCAACCTTGATGGTTCAAACTATCCCTGACCAAAACGTCTTTCCATGCCTCCTGAGGACTTTCAGGCCAGTTATCACTATAGCTGAGTTGATTTTTAAATATCTCAGGATTTATCTGAAAGATGAAGACAATCTCCCTCCATAGAGATGGGTAACCAGGAACAGGAATATGCCGTGGAGGTCTGGACTTAGTATCCGCTTTGGCCTTATGACATGTTTATGAGTTTTTCTAAAGCTTGTCAGCTGGTTGATAACACAGTTTCATTGCAAGATGATAAAAATATAACAAACGATCATGAATTATTGGTCATTGAAAACATTGTATTTATTTTTCAATAATTGCATCAGGCACAAACAAGTAGCTGGCCATCAGTATCTCAAAATCAAAATAAAAAATCCACAGCTTGAAGTATCTTTTCATCTCACCCCTTTCTTCAGTTCTACAGGGCTACCTATATTTTCCCATTTTATGCACATTTGGGACACCAACTCACATTATCATAAACTGCACTTGTCATCCTCTTTTCCAAACTTATTAACTCAACTTCTTAACTTGCATCAACTGCAGTGAGTTCAGTGAGATAAGACCTTGGTCCCCAAAGTCTCCTCATAGAGAGATGTTGTCCTTGGTTGACTGAATCCAGTAGCAGGAACACAGCATTTTGTATGCTCACTGATTCCCTGTAAGAAGGATTTATCAGCTTCCATGTATCACCTACAGGTGACTCAAGAGAGGTTACAGCACTGACCCCACCATAGAACACAGAGCTATAGAGTTGATTTTCTAAGAAAATTAAAAAATAAAAATAAACAAAGGCATTCACATTTCCATACGGATTGAGAACACCTCATTGACAGGCAGAACTTACAGCAGACTGTCATATTTGCAAGAAAACCAATGAAATAAGGTATTAATCACAAACACAAACAGTTTTTACTCAACTTTTAAATGGCATGGAGAAGCAGCTAATTGAATTTATCCTACTTTCTCTATGTATATTTTTTGTCTCAGCTTATATGCTATAATTTCATGATACTATATATTTTCCATAATTCCCTGGGTATTAATTTGAATCGGACATTGTGAGTTGATTGCGAATTGCCACAATGAAAAGCATGAAGCAAAGTTGAGCTACTGCATGGCTCAGGTTCTCCTGGTAGGAAAGTGCTGAGAAAGAACTCGGAGAAGTAGAGGCCAGTCTTTAACACAGCAACTTGCTCAGTGTCCACAGATGGGGCTACTCTCTGTTTCACACATTGAGTTTATGCAGTGAGGCAGTAAGCAGGTTGTGGGTGAGAATCAGATACTACATTTCCAATGAGTTTTCCATCAGCAAATAAATTACTAAATTAAAAGCGATAGCCTCCCACATGTGAATTTTGAATTTCATTTATAAGGAAACAAAGTTATAGATGATTAAATTTGCATGCACAGCTACTTGTGTTCAAGGATTTAGTCAATGTCAAAGATATAAGATTCCAACATTGAAAGGTGAATGTTTGCTTTTACCACTGGGTTTTTTTTTTAACAAAACAAAACCAAGCAACCTAAATATCAATGTATAATCACATTGCAGTTAATATAAAACATTAAAAAAAATCTCTGTGATTGATATCCAAATAGAACATAACTGATAACTTGAACATATGGTGAGACCAAATTAGACCCAAAGACAGTCACAAGAGGAAAGAATGTGGGAGCAGTAGATGACTGAATTGGCTAGTGACCTCTGAAAACCAAGGCAAGTAACAAAGCTGTTTTGAAAAACCAAGAAGGCCTCTCCATGCCTTTGCTCCCCATGCCAAAAAGGACAGAATCGAATTGACCATTGATATTAGATAGCTAACCGGTGTGCTCTTCACAGGGGAAGGATATTTCTCCAACCCTCAGTGTTTAGTTGCTTGTAGTTTTCTATTAAGTTGAGGTCTCCTGTCCATACTAGCTTGGCTATTGTCATTGTTCATCTCAAGTTTAGGTAGTCATGTCAGTGAGACTTTATGGGTGTGACTTCTTATATTACTAGGAGATAGATTCTCTCAGAAAACTCCTAATCCTCTACAGGTAACATTATCCACATTGAGTAGGTTAAATTTATGTATTTAGCAAAATATGTGTGTATATATATATATATATATATATATATATATATATATATATATATACACATATTTTAAAAAGAGGCGGTGAATTTGAAAAAGAGAAAGGAGTGTTTGGAGGGAGGAAAGGTGAAGTGATGAAATAATTTCATAATCTTAAGAAATGAAATAAATAGTTAAATTTTTTAAAGAAGACCAAACACAGCTAATCTTGTACCAGGAGTCAACTATTGGATTAGCTGAAAGCTAGTTATACAACTAGGATCCAGGAAAGTCACTTGTCTCACAATTCATCCCTAAGTAGGGGCTGGACATAGAAAACTCAATTATATCCCGAGTTCTGTTAAAGGCAAAACATCTGCTCCTCGATAGAGAGTGGATGTTTGAGGTGACTGCAAGTGAGGAAGACCAGAAAAGTCAGGGAGAGGCCTTGCCTCTGGCTCCCCCATGTGCTGGGGAAGGCATTGCTAAGCAAACAAAGACACAATACAAAAAAACCCTGAATTCTGCTTTCGAGGGTAGGAGGAGAAATCATCTCCAATCCCTGTACAGTCTGAGGTTGTTTTGTTTGAGTCCTAAGGTCTAGAAAATGGCATAAAACAAATCAAGGGAAAATAGGGCCTGGCTGCCTGTGGCCTTTGTTGATGAACAGGGCTCTAAGTCAGTCATTGGACTGTTTTATTACTTGTCTTTAAGGCTGATGAGTCCCGTGCAGACCTGCCTCACTGAATTCTCAATAAAGGGTTAGTGCTTGTCCTGCGGAATAATAAGAACCGCTAATGACACCAATTAAGAGCTGTAAATGTCATTTATACTTGTTTGTTATTTTTCAAATCAATAAGGCTGGAAAGGCACAGCAGCCTGAGATAATTTAGACTGGAGAGGTTTGTGGGGACATTTTAATGGACATATTACAATCAAGATTCTTGTTCACCTTTTGGAGAATGATATCCCTCAATGGGTCAGTTCTGGTATTCATTTAAAGGATAACTTCCATCTTAAATAATTAAATCTAAAGAGAAATAGAGTAATGGAAAGAGATACATATGTGTGCATTTATTAATTACAGATATTGAATCTTTCATTCAAAACGCTACTCATTTTATTTGAGAATATATCTCTAAAGATAATAAAAATAATTTAATAAATGTAAGGGAGGTAAATACGTATGTAGGAAAATGATAATGTAAACTAGGGAATGATATTTTGCTGTTGTATGAACTTAGGAAAATATGCCTTCATTAAGTTATTACCCCTTCACTCTGCCCAAGAGGAAACAAGTGACCACTCCATTCACAGGGTTATAGCACTTATGATCATGGTTTTTACTCTGTTTGATTAGGGAGCAAGTGGATAGAACCTTGACGACGTCTGATACTTTGCAACAGTGGGTCAGGGAAATTGCTTCTAGGACCCTGGAAAAAGAAACCATTATTCTGTCTGCTGAAGAGCCTGCACATAGGAGCTGACAACCCATCTCCCAGAAGATTACAAACTTACTATAACTAAAGAGACATTTCTCTGTAGTGTTTAGAGATGGGTGTTCATGGACATGTGTTCTTCAACTTTCTTATTATAATTCAAGATCTTTAGAGAGTTCATAAATGACACATAGCATGTGAAGTTGCTTACTCTGGTTGCCTACCTCTATATTTATTTCTCTGAGAGTAGATTTTCTACCTTGAAAAGGCATATTCAAGTAGCTAACCTTTTGAATGATCATTTTTTAAATTACTTTTAAATTGAATAATAAAATCAGCACATAAGGAAAACATTTTAAAATACAATTTAGGAAATTATTGTAAAGTAAACAATCAATGATCATTATATATGAATGTCTACCTAACAGTGTTCTAAATAGTTCATAATATTCCACATAAGTCAATTGATCATGTCTACACAGTATCCTCTGTCCAATTTCATTTTTATTATTTGAGACAAGCTAGGGATATGACATAGTAGATTGAAAAAAAACTGAAACCATAATTTAGCATTTAAAAAAAGTTAATGAGATAGTACAGGGAGTGTATTGCATACAACCATACAATCTATCCACAGGTATCTCCAACTGACTCAGCACACATGGCTCTGTCTTGTGTGGGGCTCAGTAGGACAATGTCTAAGGAAAGATCTGCATTTGTATTTTGCTTTATCTTGTGTGTATATGAATGTGTGCATGTGTTTGTTTGTTTAATATGACATTTGTTTCTACACGTTTGTGTGCAGGTATTCATGCCCATGCATGTGCAGAGGACAGAAGAAGAAACCTGGGTTTCTACTTTGACAGCCTTGGTCTTATTCTTTGAGGCAGAGTCATTTGTGGAACCCGTAGATACTCTGATGGCCTGAGGACTCCTGTCTTTAGTCCTCCATTACTCAGGTAAGAAAGAGATAGCCAAGTTGGTCTTGCACCCAGGATTTTACGTGATACAGCAGATCCAAACTCTGGTTCTTCCATTTGCATAGCAAGTCACCTATCTAGCCCCAGAGAAACATTTTTAAAAATCTCAAAGCATATTTAGATGCCTGCCTTTGCATGCTGCTGTCAAATTGTTTAGTAAGCATTTCATATAAAAGTACTTAAATTGAACTGAACTTGTCTTTCTTTGAATTAATGCAACTATTTTATCCAAAATTTTCAATTTCCCTTCCCTTCATGGACCTAATCTGTCAAATATTTTTCCTAGTTTCCTTGTTTTAACAAATTTACCCAACTCACCCGGCACAAATATTACTGAAACTCCGAATAGGTTTTCATTCTTTTCTACCTTTCCTTGCCACAAAATGTCTTTTCATTTACTCTGTCTTATTTACAAATGCCCTATCTGTCATCCACTCCAATGCTATGTAACCTGATTAACCAATTTCAAAATAATTTTGTTTCATTCACTCATCTATTCATTTGTTCAGCACATATTTGTTGTAATTCTGGTGAGTGAGACATTGTAGTGCACCCTCTTTTCCCAAATATTATTCTACCTCAATATTTGAATAAAACATTGAAAATTTTGTATATGTTCCTTTGCTTCTACAGCTTAAGGGTTTATTTTCAGTAATATACAGTGTGTTCCTTGATGGCAAGCACCTTCCTTCAGTCATTTCTGAGTGCCCCTCTGTGCTTATCAGTACATGCTTCACAGAATAAGTAAATGAAAGAAAAAAATCAAGATATATTTGTGCATGATTCCACAAAAAAAAAAAAAAAAAAAAAAAAAAACAAAAAAAAAAACAGCTGCTCTGTTGGGGAAACTAACCACAATTGGCAGCCAAATTCCAAAATAAATAAGTTGATTGGTTTTGTTTCTTACTAGTTCTCTAGATATTGCACAAAAAATATAAATTGGAGGTTGTGGAGGCTCAGCAGTTAAAGAATGCTTCCTGCTCTTCAGAGAACCCAAATTTGGTTTCTAGTTCACATTGGGCAGTTCACAGGCAGCTGTGAACTCAAGTTCCAGAATATTTGGTGCTCTCTCTGGCCTCTGCAGGTGCCTGAACTCACGACTGAATACCCACACACATACATGAAAATAAAACAAAGCTTGAAAACAATTTAATTAAGTGTTTTTTTTCACCTCTTTAATTTTCTTTCTTTTTGCAGTAGATGAATCAAGATGCGCAAGTAAGTAAATAGAATCAGTGAAAGCTAGCAATGAAATGTGGTGTGGTTTTTATTTATGATACTTTTCAGCAAAGGTGTTCACTTAATGAGTTATTTGTGTCTTGCGGGCAGAGACAAATCTTGATGCAAAGGTGTATAATGTTCTTTAATATAATTTGCTCTGTAAAAATAAAGTGGCATAAATATCTTCCATGAGCCAACTCTTGGATGCATCTACATCAATCTACCTGAGATCCTAGTGGGTGAGGGATATGATGGTAATTAGTTCTAACTAAATGTTAATGACCCTGCCAACTAGAGGAAAGGAGGCCTCAAGTCAACTTACTGTTCTTTATTATGCCTAGTCCCCTTTCAAAGACCTTTCTCCTAGTTAGTCCCACTTTTTTTCCCAGGCAACATTTCCCAAACTCATACTTTCTGTCTTCAAGAGAGATATACCAGAAAGAATCAGAAAAAAAGAACCACCTTGGTTCTTAGAAGAATGTTCCTTTTAACCAAGATGGGGTATTAATCTAAAGGAATTCATTACTCTGTGTGGAATATCATATTCCAGTATGTTATGTCAAGACATTTTAAAGGTACACATCTCTAAAACGAATGAGAATGACTGGATTCAATTCCTTCCATTTCAGCCACCCATAAATGGGTCATTGTGGCCAGGGTCTGAGGAAGCATAGAGATTTTTGATGATTGTACTTGCTGGTCCTGATCCTGACAAAGAATTCAATAAGGCAGAATGACTTCTGTGGCAGAGAGGACACTGCTATTCACGATGTTTCTCTTTGAAAGACATTTTCAAATGCTCCTCATATGTGAGAAGTCAGAGAGCCACTAGTAAACAGTAGTCTTTGTTCATAGGATTTATGTGACTCTTCCCTTACAACTACCTGATGCTGATCTCAGAATATCTCCTTTTTAGAAGGAAGAGTTACTTCAAGATCAGAGAGTTCATGAAGCTAAGCCTCAAATCTTCTGGGAATGAGTGTAGGGGAGCACCTGGCTGGACAACAGGAGACCTTACCTAGAGATAGCACTTGCTGCATAGGAACACAGCTGCTATGTTTCTAAAACTCCAAAAGAATCCTCATGTAGGATTTTAATGTGAAATGTCCCATTTCAAACATTAGCTTAAAAGTATCAATGTTGTCAATAAACTGTGTCTGTGGACCGTGAGCATCTGGAAAAAATGAAAGTTCCAGCTGTGATTTTCTATCTAATTTATCACATGATAGGTTCTCTCTTAAAGCCTGGGCTCTCCTCTGCTTGTTGTACTTCTTACGACATGGTCTAGCCCCTACTCAACTCATGCCTTCCCTATCTGGTCCCTCCTACCCCTTAGGCTCTGTTTCCTTGCCTGTGCACAGAGGAAAGGGTTTTGTAACTGATGCATGGAAATTACTTAATTAAAGCCTCTCATTTCTGGATGTTGCCTTCCTTTAGATAAAAACTCAGATACCTCAACAAAGAGTGTTGACTTTTTGTTCTTCCTGCTTGTTGTGTAACAAACAGGTCCATGTCAGTTCAGTGTTCAAAAGTAATAGAGTTTCCAGAGTCCATTTATGTCTGCAAGCTAGAATTTTGTTTCTGGAAGGTTTGCCTATACTAACTGAATAAGCAGTACTTTTTCTTATTCTAATATCCTTAATGAGATTTATAGACTCTTTACAGTGTTTTATGCTGATTAGGGACTTAGAATACATCACACACTAATAAAATATCCCCACTACCCAACTTGTGCTTTTGCATGCTTTATTTCAGTGAATAATGGGTCTTAAATAATGTTGGGAACATGTTATCTAGGATGTTCCCAAGAAATATGGAATGAAGATCCATCAGGAAACATTAATAAAGATATAAACACACAGAGCTGGTGACCAAGGAAATCTGATTCATTGGGCTGTAAACTCTTAAAGAATCTGGGTTGTGAATGGTTCCCACAAAAAACAAAATGGATCTCAAAAACAACAATTTATTCATTTTCATTTTTGAATTTGCTTTCTATGAGTTTTAGCTTGTGCAAATGTTTTAAAATTGAAGGTAATCATTGTGCCATGTTCTCAATCCCAGCATAAAGACATTTACTCCACGTAGCTTCCTTTGCACATGACAACCATTTTCATGGTTATAGCTAATTAGCTTCCTTTCGGCATTAGATACAGCGGATATTTAAGCAACGTAAACTAGCTGTCATCCAGCAGCATCATAATCAAAATGGCATAAAATTCGCCATAAAACCTGCAGCTAATAACATTTATAAGACACCTTATCACATAAGGATACTGGAAAAGCTCAGACACTGTATATCACAAAGCATCCCCAGGGAAGCAGCTCAGCTTCCTAATGACAGTGTGTGAGTTTACTCTGGGAGCTTTTATGCACCTGCCTAAGCCAGGGTCATCCCAGTCAAAGAGACAAAGCCTAGGTTCCAACGCATCAACAGTCTGGCCACTTTTTTTCCTGACCAGCCCAGGCATCTCCCAGTTTAAAGTCACATCAATGCTGGCTCTGGATTCAAATTAATGTTTTAGATGAATGTGCATATACCCTGTTCTCCACCTGAAAAACTTGAATCCTTTACATCTATGTCCTATTCCTCTATACTTGTGCTCATTCTTCTAAATTCACATCATCTTGGGTCTTCTCTTGGGATTGAATTATTGATGATTCTGACTCAAGTCAGACATTATTTTTAAGCTTGTATTATTTTCATGAACTCTGTGTAGTTATTACTCATCCTGGCCATCTTCTTTTGTTTTAAAATCGGTACCTTAGACGATCAGTGCTATGCCATCACCAAAAATATTGATAATCCTGTGGGAAAATGTGCTTTTCCTCTCAGCAAGTATGGAAGAGTCAGCCATGTAGGCTGACTATGTTTCCACCCACAGCTCAATGTATTCATGGGGTTCCTGGATTCATAACTCACAGAGGTGGGGCCTGTTCCTATTGCCTTGTGTGGACCTTTTTAAAAAAGTCTAAAATTTGACTACAATTGAATTCAATACAATATCCAATGCTCAGTTTATTATGTCTTCCATTACTGACCAAGCTAATTATCTTCAGCTTCTTGACACTTGAAGTCGAGCACCTTTCTCGTGACGAATGTTTCAAGCTTTATTTTATAATAACGGTATGAGCTTCCTATGCAATAGCTGGGTTAGACGTGGCTGTTTTCCTGGAATCTTTCTTCTGGTAGGATCCGGATCAAGATTCCTGCCTTCATTCATGCTTGTAGTATGAATCTTAAATGGTCTTATTAATAACAATAAACCTGGAGCTGGGTATTGGAGTGAATGCTGGAAGATCAGAGAGACAGAACAAGCCACAGCTAACCTCACCTGGCCAACTTCTCAGCCGATCCTGGTTCCTCAGACTGGAAGCCTCTGAGTCCTCATCCAAATAGATCTCAGCTGAACTATAGCGCAAAAGCCTAAAAGCTTAACCAGGCTCTAGTTCCTCGTCCTCACGCCTTACATACCTTTCTGCTTCTTGCCATCACTTCCTGGGATTAAAGGCTCTTGTTACCACACCTGGCTGTTTCCAGTGTGGCCTTGAACTCACAGAGATCCAGGAGGATCTCTGCCTCTGGAATACTAGGATTAAAGGTGTGAGTGCCACCATTTTCTGGCCTCTATGTCTGTCTAGTGGCTGTTCTGTTCTCTGACCCCAGATAAATTTATTAGGGTGCACGATATATTGGGGAACACAATATCACTACACATGCTCTTTGGTTTGACGCACTCCATTTCCTCTACTCATTCCCAGATTTTTATTGTGCCTCTGCAGACAGCTACTTGATTTTTCCATATAACAATATAATTGTAAAGATTATATTATGTTATACAGTATATATAAGATATGTGAAGTATTAAGTAATATGACAGTTTATGCCCAAATTGTTCTATAAAATACTATAAACTGATGCTTAGAGAGAAACAAAAGTAATTCAGAAAAATTGATTAGTGATGTTATAGATTGTAGAATGTATAGTATAGAGCAGTGGGAAAGCATCACACCTTTTATTCCGTCTTCATTAAGGGGTCTGCTTGTGTGCTCGTGGTTAAGCATTATTGTATTGAAAGATATGAATAAGATTGGAAGGAGACTGCATTAAAGCATGGCAAGCAGGTATCTTTTGTCTTTTTGTTTTGTTTTGTTTTTCGAGACAGGGTTTCTCTGTGTAGCTTTGCGCCTTTCCTGGATTTCGCTCTGTAGACCAGGCTGGCCTCAGACTCACAAAGATCTGCCTGCCTCTGCCTCCCGAGTACTGGGATTAAAGGCGTGTGCCACCACCACCCGGCTGGCAAGCAGATTATCTTTAACGTCTCCATGAATGACTTGAAATTTCCTATAACGTTTTACATAGAATTGTTTGGTGAATTTTCCCTAGTCTGTCTGTCTGTCCATCCATCTGCCCCCCCTCTCTCTTTCACACACACACACACACACACACACACACACACACACACACACACACCACAGTCCTAAATATTGCATTTTCAGTTCATATAGTCTTTATACAGTTACTATTATGTATGTTTATGGGCTCAGTGTTTGGTACTCAACAACTAACTGGCATACTCTTCCTTGAGAAACAGAGAAACACTGCCTCTCCTGATTCCAAGTTTCCTTAGTTTCCTGTAGTACTTTGTGTAATGTTGAAGCCTCATAGTCTTTTCCCCATCCAATTTCACATGTCTATTTGTATCATCCTTTTTCAGGTCACGTTTAGGTGGTCATATTGATGAGACTTCATGGGTGTAGCTCTGATCTTACTAGGAAACACAATCTTACAGCAAAACCACTGATCCTCTGGCTTTTACAATTCCTCTGCCACTACTTCTGCATTGTTTCCTGAGCTTGGGTGTGAGAGTGTTGTATGGAGGTATCCATGGGAACTGGGCTCCACATATCTGCATTTTGATTGGTTATGGTTTTCTGTATTGGGCCCTGCCTGTTATTTTGTTCCCCTTAAATTTATTTGAAGTATATTTTCACTATTCTCACTATACGAGTACGGATAATACATGGTGATATGTCTGGTGGAAATAAGATTACAAGAAAATTAAAACAAAAGTAGGTAAAGATCTTGTCAAATGAGGCATGGTACACACAACTATGATTCTAGTTACTCTGAAGACTAAGGACAAATGAATACAAAGTGAAGGTGATTCTGGAGAGACAGCTCATTAGTTAAGAGGGTTTATTGCTGTCTCAGAGGTCACCAATTTCTGTCTCAACAATTATTTTAGGTGGTTCCCATCTGCCCATAACACCAGCTCCAGGACATCTTGATACCCTCTTCTAGCCTCTATGGGCATACACATGTACATTAAAAAAAAATCTTTGAAATTTATCTACATAAATACAAATATAATTAAGAGAATGGGTAGAGTGAACAGAGAATCTATAGTAAAGAAAGATATACAAAAAGGAAAGAAATGAGAAGTAATTCCAAGGGAGGCCATGGAAGTGGTGGTTGGTGGGGTTGTGTTGAGAGGATGACTTGTGTGACTTTGGCCACCATTATTCAACCTAAATGAGATTCGAAACCACCAAAGAACAGGGACTGTATAGCCTAGTGGACAGGGTGTCAGGAGTCACCCAATTGATGCTAGGCTTCAGCACAGGAGAAAACAAATCCAATAGAGAACTACAGTGAAGTCAGATCTAGTGTATTCCAAGAAAGGACCCAAAAGGTCCTGTGGGTTTGAATTGCAACAATTGGAGGAAAGAAAAAGCAATGTAACTTGATAACATGAGGTTGTAGAGAGTGGATGGAGAATTATACAAAAGGGAAGAACAGGGACTTGATTTGGCCCTTGGTTCTAGTTCTTGACAAAGCTTAGAGATGAGAAGATGAAAGAGAATCCCAGAATAATGTAGAAGGACAACTGGGAAACTCTCATTCTCTGTCAGAGCTGTGCTTCTGTAAATGGTAAACCAGTCTCTAATCAGACTCAATGGCCTGTTTTTGTAATTCATGTTTTATGTGCCCTCTTTAAACCTTAGCAAACGCCATAGGTAGGTTAGCATGTAATGACTAAAACATTAAAAATAATATATATATGAAATAAAAGCAATCTTTAAGAAGAAAAATATTTATATATCTTATTATTTTCATGTATAAATGTTCACTCATAGTAAATTTGAAAGTCACAATGAGAGGTCAGGCATGTGATTCTGGTACTTGCTTCAGGTGACAGCTGATAAGTTTACATTTTCTGAAAAGTTCAAGCAGCTCCCTTCAGTGTTGCTTGCAATGAAATCTTCTGCAAGATAGTGACAGTTTTTGGTAGTGTTCTTAGCAAAGCAAAGTCGTATTATTCTTAAATTTCCAAAAAATTCAAAAAGCTTCAATTTGGAACCTCATAAAGAATAAATCATATTACCATGAGGAGTTTTCTGTTACACTTTATTATATTATTATCTTGTGTGTTGTACATGTATACTAACATATATGTGAGTGAGTACACATGCATCTGTCTTCGTGTGTATATCTGAGAGCTACATCAGGTCTGTTCCTCAGTTGCTTTCCACGTTAATTCTTTGAGTCAAGTTCTTTCACTGAATCTGGAGCTCAGTCATTTGTCCCGACTGTGTGGTCATGGAGCTCCGAAGATAGAAATAGATCTGCCTCTACTGATGAAGATCCAATCTCAGATCCTCGTGACAGTCATGAGTTCAAGGTAAATTCTTTATCAAGTGAACTACCTCTCCTGCTCAGGAATTCACGCTAGTTTAAAATGTAAAACAGTTGCATGCTTGCTTCAGATATGAACATACTTTCTAAAAAAAATCTACATGAATATCCAGTAAGACTTTTGAAAATAACATTAAGTGCAAACACAAAATCTTTCCTACAAAGAGTAACATCTCTCAATTCATGCAGTATACCTGACCACACATAATGGGTGTCCTTCAGTCCCTTCATTGTGAGGACCACAATATCCATACACACTGTTGAAATGCCTCCATGCTGGCCCTGATAGAAACAAATATATTAAAACTCAGTTTATTTCATAAGGAAAAATAGGAGGCCAAAGACTATGGTACATGCCAATTTTTGAAGCTATGATCAAGGAATTATTGAAAACTGCTAAAAAAAAAAAATGATGTCTCATTGTTAGTTCCAAAAGATACTAAAAGTTCAAGAGTTCTTTGCAAAACTCTGTATCCCAGAAGGACACTGGATTTACCATCTAATTACTGTGCTTCTGTACCTTACCACAATATGTGTGGACATGTGAAGGTGTGCACACTTACATTCTAGCACATTTATCCTACACAGCTTGTGGAAAATACTTCAATCTTATGAAACAAAATTCTAAATCCAGTATTTTATTGTGTCCAGTGTGGTCATCAGCAAGACATACATGTTGAATGTTCAAATGGAGGGTGCTGGTGATAATGCTGATGATACCTTAACCTGTTAGTGTGGCTGATACTATTTACAACAACAAAAATTAAAATTATGTGTTGTTTTCCACAGTTCCTGCAGGACAGCAGAACAAATCGCCCCCATTCTATCAATATTTGTCACAAATTATTTTACTATCCACCCCTCTCAGGCTATTAAATAGATACAACCCAGTTCTGTCTCTATGCATGTGCCGATGTCCTTTGATGCAAGCACATACATTTTTGTGCATAGATAAGCATATTTTGGCTTAGTTCATCAAATATTTCATAATATTTTTCAGACATGTAAGACTTTCTTAGCTTTTTTAAAAATGAAGTTTAATGTAAAGAAAAAGAAAATAACATGTTTTTATTCATTTACACTTCAATCAGCCATGTTGTTTAATGGAACTATTTGATATTCAAGAGCTCTTGGGCATTTTCAGTCATACTTTGAAAATCTTTCTCCCTCTAACCTAATATAAAAAGTAGCATTTTGCCACAGGCAAGCTAGAGTGAATATCGGGGGTGGGGGAGGGCGCTACTTTGCTCTGAACTTGTGAATTTTGAGCAATGTTTAAATTAAACTCTTGGAACTCACTGTGTATCCACTTGGACAACTCTGCCTTCAAAGAATCAGAGAATCAGAAGCCAGTGAAGATCCATGATGATCAGCTCCCATCTGCTGCCATCTCCAGTTCATTCTCCTAGGTGCCCACTATTCCTCCTTTTCTTCCCACTCTTTTTCTTCAATTTTAAACATGTAAAATTTCATTACAAAAGTTTTAAATGCAATTCAGTGTAACAAGTCTCACTGTGAAATTTTCGTACACACAGTTTGGTTGATTGTCTCACCCACATAACCTTCCAAATTCCTGCCTTTTATGCCTTTTGTCTCTAGTGTTCCCTACCAGTGTTCACTACCATACCATATGTGTTCTTTCATTCTCTCCATTTTCCCTTTTCCTTTAAAGCCTTCTCTTTGCCTCTCATGGGCCCCTTTCTAGTTTCTTGACCTCTACCCTTATTCACATGCAAATGAACACATACAAAAATTAAAACCTTGGACCTGATCTGAGAGAGAACATGTGGTATTCATTTTCCTCAGTTAATATAACACTTTTCAGTTCATCTATGTTCCTGCCAGTTTCATATCTTTGTTTGTATTTTCAGTTAAATCAAATTCCCTTGTGTTTTTGTACTACCTTATCACCATCCTTTCTTCTCGTGACACACACAAACCCACAATAAATTATGCATGATTCAGCTAATGAATATTGTTTACAAAGCCTTGCTTAAACACGTACACAGACTTTATAAGGACTATTCTCTAGTGACTTAGAGTTGCGAGGTCCTCTCCATCTAATATCATTGGTTGTCACCAGGAAAATATCAACTTGGTTTCCTGATATTTACTGATAAAGTTTTAGAGTTTAGTGAAAACATTTCCTTTAGGTTATCAGATAAAGAACAGACCTTTGAGGGTGCGTTTCCAATAAAAGCAGTAATATGGACAGAGGAAGGCACATTTGGTGAAAGTTGTGTTGGAAGTTGTGTTTTTTCCTCCTTTCTGCTCTATGTGTATTTGGGGCGCATCTATAACATGGGCTAAAAGCAGCCCCACATGCCTCAGGGAAAACACTGTGGGATCATCTGGATGGCACCTGCTGACTCTCCTTTCAAATCCTAAGACGCTCTATAAGAACCCGCCATTGGTACCCACAACCTGT